TCCGAAGTGCGGTGCAGATATGGATATTTCGTGGTTGGGATTGGGCTAAGGATGTCTCAGTTGCTGCAAGTATTCGTATGAGGAGATACACAACACACACAGAGGAGGAGGAGGGAGAGACGGTACCAAATCGGCGTCAGAGGAAAACTCGGGCGATGGCGGCGGCGGCGACTTCTCAAACATGTCATGTATCTCAGATATCCCAGATGTCGAGTGGCTGTCGCCGGCGTACACCAGATGATCAGCCTGCCATACCTGAGGAGTCGGACATGTCACGTGAATGGATGATATCTAGGCTGGCCATGTTACATGGAAGGGGGAAGTGGACGGAACATCGTGACACATGTATTCTAGCAATGCCTGTAAAAGATAGGAAGCAGCTGACGCGCATGAACATAGGCGGCCGCCCCCGTGGACATACTGCGTGGGACTGGTGCTTGTGCGATCTCTTTGGTTGTGAGTGGTACCTCTCATTCGACAGTTCCGCTGGGTCCCGTGAGAAATGCTGCAAGCATTTGCTGACTGTGATTGGTATGCAACACTTGTTCGACTTGTTTGTTCTACCCAGGCCGCCTGGTGTGAGACATGTGAAGGCAGAGGAGGAGGTGGAGAGTGAGATGAATGAGAGGATGAGCAAACGTATTGCCGCAAATTTTGAGAATGAAACGGAGTGGAGGTGTGAGAATATTGAGCGTCTTGGGATGGAGATCTTGGGAGATAGTAAGACTGTAGTAAACTGGATGTGTGGTGAGTGGCAGATTCGCAACAAGCAGTATGTACGACTGGTGGGAACACTACAAAATACGGTATCGATGCTGTCTGGATGGGGACTGACCTCACCTGCATCGGGACAGAATCTGTATAAGCATTTCTTTCGTGTGGGTAATGAGCGTGCGGATAAATTGTCGTGGGAGGCCAGAGGTGGCCAAACTATTACTCGCTGGTTTGCATATGATAAGTTCCTCAGTACTCGTAAGACTGCTCTCCGTGGTGCATTCGATGGGGGTGTCAGTAATGAAGGATGTGGAGGTGGGTGGAGGCTTCAGATTGGCGTTGTAGGTAGGGGTTCCAGCGTGCAGGTTGATTTTCCCATCTCCTCCTCCTCCTCCTCCTCCTCCTCTTCCTCCTGCACCAGCTCGCACAGCTTCCATTGGCACGATGTGGCCGAGGAGGCGATGAGCTTGACTCCTGGTAGCACGGTAACCTGCTGTGAACTAGCTGCCTGCGCTGCCCTGACGAGAGCTGCTGCTAAGGTGGCGTGCGCTCTGCTACGACCTACCTAAGATGGTGGGGGCTCAGTTGCACTGCTCCGCCGATTCGGATTCGGATTCTAGTGGCGGACCGCAAACCGCAAAAAAAACAAAGGTTGACGGTTTACCGCTGACGCCCAGTTTTCACTTTGTGCAAAAATTGGTTTTGAGAACCAGTATGTTTTTTTTCTCACGTGTAGTAGGTTATGTCGCGTCTGACAATTGAATTCTCAGGTCTGCAGCTGCTATTTACCTATCAAAAAGCTTGAGGGAACTGTCGGCGGGTTTCAGTCATCTGGACACGCGTTGACGGTTTTTTATAGGTAATTCGAGATGGCATACATCGATTCATAATCATGAGGCACGCTTGTTTAAGAGGCTAAAAACAGTCAGCTCGAGAGAAACAAATATTTATATTTCTCCTTCCGTTCTCTTGAGAAGCTTTCCTTACATTTTTGAGCAGTCTGCTACTCGAGCTTGGTTCTTGAACCTATTCGTATTATGCGAGTGATTTTCTGAGGTGATTTCGATTTTCTGCACTTGACTCGGCTGCAGGAGAGCTACTGATCTGGAAGCGAGAGTAATCCATTAAAAGCTCGTAGAGCTCTTTGGCATCGATGAGCTGAAGGAATTCCGGCGCGGGGTGGAGCCAGTTGGCCGACCGGGCCTCTAGAGAGCATGTATGACCTGGGGTCGGTTTTGCGAATATTTGAAATAATTTTAACAATTCAATTTGAGAACTATTTTCCGTGCAGTCGGTTATGCCGCGTCTGCCTGTTCAATTCTTAGGCCCTAGGTGCAATATTATTATCAAAAGACTTCCAGCAACTGACGTTCGGAAAAACAGAAAACAGTGATTTTTCGATGTTTTCGTTTCTCGCTCCAGAAGCTTTCTTCATGTGTTCCGACGATCGCAAGATGATATGCAGCTGAAGTTAAATGGAGAAATTCACCACCATTTCGAAAAAAAATCTGTCAAACACGAATAGATTTGGACCTAGCTGAAATTAGCAGACTGATTTTAGGCTCGCGCGACTGATGATTCTCGATCGATTACGTGGCGTACCAGCTTTGTACCTCGAGTTAAGCACAGAAATCCAACAAGACCTCTCAAGATCACTCGAAGAAGACGAATTGTTTTCTGGATCTAGCTCGAGACGGGGACCGATTTCAGAACTTTCGATGCAACAGACGAACGCGCCTTATGAGTTTCAATCGATTCGTCTGCGTTCCAGCTCAGTCGCTCTCCTACAGCCCGAGTGAAGCACAGAAACCGGCAGCACCTGTCAAGAGCACTCGTATAATACGAACCTCTCAAGAGAAAAGACAAGCGTGCCTGATCATTATGGAGCGGTTTCTGTAAGTATCAGCTCTGTAGCTTTCCTTTCTCTCCAGTAAAGCATGGAAAACGTTAGCACGTGTCAAGATGACTCGAAACGGTGGACGTTCCCCTCAAGTCTGCGGATACTAATTGCTAGCTTCCAAAAGCAGGAGAGCGACGGGACCCTCGGAACTGGGACCAGGCGGTAAACCGTCAACCTACTTACCGCCGGGAACCTCGTAGAGCTCTTTTCTTCAAAGAAATCAAAAGAAAATCGCGAGACGCGCTAGTCTGTTGGGAATCATCTTTAGAGGTGCTGTCGGTTTTCTGCACTGAACTCGCTGTAGGGAGGCTACAGGGCTGGTGATTACAGGGATCGATTTGGAGACATCCGGCGCGTCGCGTGTCGTATTCAGAGGTCGAAAACGGTCTGGTACTCGAGCTAGATTTGCGAAACTATTCGTATTGTTCGAGTAATCTTGAGAGGTGCTGTTGATTTTCGTAACTCGGGCTTTAGGAGAGTTACGGAGCTGATGCGCACAGAAACTGACTCGATATCATCGTGCGCGTTCTGTTCCATCTAGTGGTCTGAACTGTGCTCTGGGCTAGCTGCAAAACTTTTCTTATTCTTCAAGTCACCTTGGCAGATGTTGTCTCTTTCCTATATTGATCTCGGGCTGTGGGATAGCCACGAGCGATCCAGAAGCATCAGGGGCGTTCGGCTGTTGCATCGAGAGGTCTCAAATCGCACGCAGAAAAAACTATTCGTTTTCTGCAATACTTTTGATATTATATATGGTCAGGAAGCTCTACGAGTGCCCCCGCGGTAAGAAAGGTTGACGGTTTACTGCAGGCGCTTAGTTCCGGCGCGGGGTGAGCTAGTTCGCGGACCCGACCAGAATGTGACAACTTTGCGTCGGTTTTGCTAAGATTTGAAAGATGTTTAACAATTCATTTTGAGAAAGCAGATTGTCCGCACCTGGGAACGATTATGAGGGCCTCTGCGTCTCAATATGAGCTCTGTACGCACATTTGCTATCAAAACACTTGGCGGAACCAACTTCAAATCGACATGACAAAAAATCAATTTTGCCTTTTTCGCGAAATGCTTGCAGAAGCTCTCTCTGTCGATTCTAAGCACTCTCACGCGTGGAAGGAGCTCTACGAGGTTCCCGGCGGTGACCAGGTTGACGGTTCACCGCCGGCGCCAGTTGACGGTTCACCGCCAGCGCCAGTATCTCGTAGAGCTCTTCGTGATCGATGAGCTAGAGGAATTCCGGCGCGGGCGGAGCTAGTTGGTCGACGTGGCCAGAGTATTCTATCAAAACATTTGGAGGAACTGATGTTCGATGAAAACAGAAAAACTGGGAGCCGGTATACCGTTCACCAGATTACCGCCGGTAGCCTCGTAGAGCTGTTGTCTACACGGCGCTGCTCGAGGGAAGCGTAGTGGGTGATGTCGCGTCTGCCTGTCAAATTCTCAGTTCCGTAGCTGCAGTATTATTATCCAAACACTTGGCGGACCCCACTTTGGGTGAACACCGAACGTATTTTTTGGAGTTTTGCAGCTCGCGCTTGAGAAAGCGTCCTCAATGTGCTCCAGGCAGCGCCGCGCGAGGAAAGAGCTCTGAGGCTCTCGGCAGTAACCTGGTTCAAGGCTCAAGGCTCAAGGCTCCGCGAACGTTCATTTTCTCCAGCCTGGGGAACTTCCGCGAAGGTGAACGTTGAGCTAGCGTGTTGTTTTGCTCTGCTTACGCAACTGCCCATCTCCCTGTGCATCCTGCTTGTCATTGTTGGTCTCTCATACCCAATTCTTGTTGCGGTTTGGTGGTGGCAATTTGTATACGCTGACTTGTTCCTCACTGCCTAGTGTGGTGCTCGTAAGTCTCTGTTCTTTCAGATCTGCCTTGTGTGGATTGCATGTTGTTCAATTTGCAGAATTTCATTGTTGTGATCTCTCAGGTGTCCTCACATCTTCCTTCAGTTTTCTGCCATATACTTATCATTTGTGGTCTTGTTTGTGCCAGATGCCTCATGTGCGGAGTCTCGCATCCAGGTGTTTGCGTCGGGCTCGGGCTTGCCAACTTGGATGGGTTCGACCGAATTGTGCTCTTCCGTTGGTGCTCGAAGGCCTAGTCGCCCGTGACGCGGTCTTGCATGCAGAGTTTGATGCTCAGGCTAATAAGTTGTTGACAGCATTACTCCATCCCTCTGATAGCTGCCCGAAAGTTGATTCCGTTGCACTTCGCGGTTTTTCTTCTGCTATTGATGCTGGGGTCCAGGTTGACGAGGTCGAATATCCTTCTCAAAGCATTCGAGTCTTTTCAATTGATGCTGGTGTCCAGGTTGACGAAGTGCACTGTCCCTTTCAGAGCATTCGAGTGTCGTCAATTGATGGTGAGGTCCAAGTGCATTCTTAAAGCATTCGAATGTCTTCAATGGGTGCCGGCGTGCAAACTCAGTTCACTTGCGAGGACGCCTGTGTGCAAACTCAGTTCACTTCAATGGATGCTGGCGTGCATACTCAGTTCACTCTGAAGGACGCCGGTGTGCAAACTCAGTTCACTTTCCAGGACGACGTCAAAACATGGATTGACAGGAGCACTGCCCAGAAGGGGTTCACCGGCCAGATTGCGCTGCAGTATGAAATCCAGGGGCTTGAATTATTCGTAGACCTCATGACAGAGCCAATGACCATCCCAAAACATCATGTATCATTTTGGTTCCATACTTTGTTCAACCTCACGGATGGATCATGTTCAGTTGTTTCTGGGAGAACTTTTGGATTGTCTCAAATCTCACCGTTTCGTGACGGGGAAAATGGACCGTGCCGAGGAGGCCAGGTTTAAAGCTCCAGGGTACATTGTCGATTGTTTCAGTTTTGTTCCAGACGGACTCTTCGAGAGTGCCAGTCGCGCAGACCCGCGGAGACTCGCAGCAGACACCCGGAGACTACAGCAAATGTGGGAGCCCCAAGAGCTCAGAATTACGTCGCCACGTGGACGAATCGCCTCTCCGTCGGGGTCGTCGTCTGTCCGTGTCGCTTCGGATGTGATAGCCAAGACTGGACATCAAAAGTTGGTTCCCGAATCTTCCGAGAGCATTCGAGTTTCTCCCGATAACGGTGGGAGCTCTAGAGGTAGCTGCAAAGGCAGAGACAAAGGCAAACGATAGGGCAGCCTTGAACATGATTGTCTGCATACATTACCTCTCTGTGTATTGTACGCTGAATTGTCTTGGATTGTTGATTGTGATTGCCTCGCGTGGTTTTTTTTGATTGTTGATTGTGATTGCCTCGTGTGGTCATTCAGTGCATCCTTATTCAGTGCATAGTCTTCCAGATTGTGATTGCCTCGCGTGGTCATTCAGTGCATCCTTATTCAGTGCATAGTCTTTCAGTTGTTCGTGGCCTTTGTTTATTGCTTGTGTTTCGGTAGTGTTGCCTTTCGGTCCATAGACGTGGGGCATATGCATTTGTTTGAGCTCTAATAATTCAGTGTGTGCATGTTCAGTTCTTGGCCAGGTCTCCTGGCTCTCTTGTCGTAGTTTTAGTTTCGCCTCTTCAGTGTTCTCACTGTTGTAGGGTTGTCTGTATACTGCACCTACGGACCTAGGTCTGATCCCTGATACAAAGTTATCAGCGGCGGAGCGTATCTGCGATGTTCTCCCACAGGTTGTGCGAACGCCTTTGGTCATGCATGTTTCTGTTTCTCTATAAGAGCGGACTGCTTGCTTGACAATTTAGAGGCTTCGCTTCGCCTGAGACTTCGTTGGACCTGGCCTCAGTGGCCGGTTGGTATCAGAAATGTCGCAAATAACCTGGTTGACACGGTTGGTAAGCTGGCGCCTGGTGGTCACCAGGCGGGTGAAGGCAGGGGAGTGGTCGTGGTAGGGAGGCCGTTTCGGCGGTTACGGGCGGGGAGGGGGGGGCATGTGGGGGGGAAGGGGGGGGGTGGGTATGGAGGCCGTGCAGAGGGGGGTGGGCTTGGGGGGGGGGGCGCGGGGGCAGAGAGTGGGGTCGGGGAGGGGGGGGTGGGGGGTGGAGGTGGGTGCAGGAAAGCGGGAGGTGGCGGGGGTGGAGTGTGGGGAGTGGGAGTGGGGCAGGGAGGGGTGGTAGGATGTGAACTCGGGGTCGGGACGCGGGGGAGGGAGCGGGAGTAGCCTGACGAAGTGGTGAGGGGGGGGCGGGGGGGGTTGACGCGTGCTGGGCGGGGGGCGAGGTTTTTTTTTCGATTTCTTGCTTGTTGCGAGTTTTGTCGTATTCAGCTTCTTTCTTATCTTCTTTGTTTTTCTCTCTTCTCTTTTGTTTTGGTTTATCTTTTTTTTCCGCTAATTAGGTATATATTTTTATCTGTGTTTTCTCCTTATTCTTATGTCTTCTTTTTTTTTTCGGGAGGGGAGTGTGATGATCTGGGATCGGTTTTTCGAAGATTGAGAGATTTGTTCGTTTTGGGAAAGTCAATTTCATTCCCTGTAGTGGATCATGGGGCGTTTGGCGGTGAAATTCTCGGGGCTGTAGCTGCAGTTTAGCGCTCGAGAATTTGGAGGAACCACCCGCCGTCGGGATACAGTTTTCGAGATCATAAAGGTTACGTGACTTCACGAAAGAAGCAAGGGAACCATACAGTTCAAGCATCATTCGCACCCATAGTGGGATATTCCGCGTCTGCCGGGAAATTCTCAGGTCTGCAGCTGCAGCGTTGCAATCGAAACATCGGCAGAACGAACGTCGTGTAAATTCGTACAATACATTTTGCGAGATTTGAAGCTGACATTCGAGATCGCTCTTTCCTCGCCATCTGCGCGCTGATTTGCGTGGTAAGAGCTCTACGAGGGTCCCAGCGGTAACCTGGTTGACGGTTTACCGCCGCCGCCCAGTGATGACCTGGGGTCGGTTTTTCGAAGATTCAATTCGTTTTGGGAGTCACTATTTTTGTAACGTGGAGTGGGTTGTGCCGCGTTCGTCTGTCAAATCCTTAGGTCTGTAGCTGCAATATTACGGTCAAGCGTTTTTTTTTTTTTTTTTTTTTTTTTTGTTTTTTTTTTTTTTTTTTTTTTTTTTTTTTTTTTTTGTTTTTTGTTTTTTTTGTAGAAAAAGTGAATAATTTTATTTTTCTTAAAGCTGACTCACTTCAGCTTTCTTGTCGGAATCTAAGCACCATTTCCCAAACCGAGAGCTCTACGAGGGCCCCGGCGGTAACCTGGTCGACGGTTTACCGCTGGCTCCCAGTAATTCCGGCGCGCTGGGGGCTAGTTGACAAACAAATCTCGACGGAAGTGGGTCGCTGTCACATCTGCCTGGTGCTGCGTTAGCGTTGGTGGAGCTTTGGAGACTGGCGGCGTTGTACTGGGCGTTCTGGGTGCGCACGCGGTCTTCCACGGAGCAGGCTGCGAAGGTGTATTCCTTGTTTAAATTGTCCTTTACGTCGTCGTACTGTGGCGATGTTTTCGAGGAAGCGGGGGTCGTTGATCGTTGATCGAGTGGACAAGAGACTTTGCTTCGGCCCTAAAGATTGCCCTTCGGCTGCTGACTAATGTGTGGTGGTGCGTGGGCCGGGCAATCAACCTGCCTGGTGACGTCTGTTTGTGGTGCTAGCCCTCTGGTGGGTATCGCTTGAGGTCCGATTTGTGCCCTACTGTTTTGGGGTTGTGGGCGACCTCTTGAAATTCTGAGGTGGGGTGGCGGTGGGTGTGTAGGGTTCCTGCTGAGGCGTGTCGTTGGTCCCGTCCTGATGTTGGCGTTGGCAGGTGGTGCTTGTGATGTCGTTTTTTTCCAGGGGCCACTGACTGGTTATCTTGGTCGGTGCACGCCGCAGCGTGGTTGTCGCGTTGTGGCTGCTGGTATTGGCGAGTGTGCTGGGGTAGTCGGGCGTGCGTCACGTCTGTCGTGAGATGTGCTGGGCACTGTTGACGCGTAGTCGTCGTCGCCCAAGCTGGTGAAGGTGGGTGTGGGTCCTGGTGTCCTGGTGTGGGTTGTGCGTTGCTGTCTGCTTGCAGATCTCCGTCAGGGGCGCAGCTGTATCGGGCGTGTGGGCCAGTCGTGCCACCTGGTGCGTACGTCGCTCCTCGAGGGGGTGGGCCACTGCGAAGCTTCTGGGGTGGCCTGTCCTGTGTGCTTTGGTGAGCCGGGGTCGCTGCGGACCGGCAGAGAAGGGAACCAATGTCCGATGCATCCCAGAGGAGTGTACAGGATATTGGCTGTCCTGCGCAGTCAGTGGTGCACAGACCCCTGGAGGAAGGGAGAGATGGTGCCCGTGCGCGACTGCGTGGCCAGGTCTGGCTATCTTGGCCTAGTAGGCAGTAGAGGTGAGGTGGGCAGGCAGGGCATGCGGGAAGACGTGGGCAGCAGGAGTAGCCCTTGGGACAGAGGCGGTCAAAAAACACAGGGTGGGAAGAAGGAGGGGCTGCGAGATATCTGTCTGTAGCTGGAGTCGACGATGTCGCAGTGGCTGCTGTGAGCGTCGTGGTAAGCCACTAGCTTGTGCAGGTAGTGCATGCTCCAGGTGGTATGCAGACCCCCCAATAATTTTATTAAATTGAACTTGGACCAGGAAACGAACTAACGAAACAGAGAACCCCTGAGGTCATTACAGCAGGATAAACAATGGCTGACAATTGTTTTTTCTTTTCTGATTGCCAGGTTCGCCACCCCCACGATTACAGATACAGCTATTAATAGACTTGTTACATGATGCACACTTGTTGTTGGCATACAGAGCCCAGACAGCCCATTCCGTAAACCTCCCTGCGCACTTGTCCACTGCCCTAGCTTTTTCCAAACCAACAACAGGATTCAACCGGCCGGCGTATGATATGACTCGTAGAGCTTCCCTAAGAGCGAAGCGGCGAAGCTAGAGAGTAATTCCGGCGCGACGGGGGGCTAGTTGTCAAACAAAATCTCGACGGATTTTTTTGTTGACTTATTTGGACGCTTCAGATCTGTTTGCTACCAGGGCTGCGACCGAAAATCTATCTGCACTCTTCAATTTTTTGAGGGGCAATGTTGGTTTTCATTTTTCTCGAGATGTAGGCAAGCTGTGGAGCTGGGAAACAATTCGAGCGGAGAAGGTCAGGAGCGCTCGTCTGGAGTATCGAACGCCTGAGACCGTCTTTTGCCAGTGCTGCGAACGAACAACTATTCGTGCTCTGCAAACAGATACTAGGGTCAAACCAATCATTCGACATGAGATGATCATGTTCTACACGTGGCGAAAGTTTCATAATATCGACAGGTAGTCTTCAAACATTGTTGAACTTGAGTAGTGTACTTGCTTGCGTGGGTGGTTGTCTCAACTGAACTCGAGCTGTGGGCAAACTAAGGAGCTGTCAAGCCATGCTCGCATGCCATTCATCTATATATATATATATATATGTATATGACAAGGAAGCTCTACAAGTCCCTGGCGGTAACCAAGGTTGGTGGTCCCTGGCGAGTCGTTGGCGAGTCCCTGGCGAGTCCTCCTCGATGGAGGTTTCAGTGATGGCGGATCTGGGGGGGGTCTGGCGGCTCCAGATTGGTGTGCAAGTGAGTGAAGGGGACCCTTTTGAGTGGCATGAGTGGCCTGTCTGAGGCTGCCGCAGTGGCGGCCAGTGGTGTATTTCTATACCACTCTCGCGCACCCGCTTCAGCTGTGGAGTCCAGGGGTGTCCGCAAACCGCAAACAAAAACCAAGGTTGATGGTTTACCGCTGGCTCCCAGTGTATTGACCTGGGGTCGTTTTTACGAAGACTGCTTGAAATTTGAAAATTCATTCTGAGAATTCAGACTTCTTTCTGCACTGGGCACTCGCGTCTTTAGAACTCGCCGGTGTAAGATTCAGCAGGGCCGTAGCTTCAATATTTCTGTGGG